TGGCATAAGAACAGATACATAGACCAATGGAACAGAATAGGGGGCCCAGAAATAAACCCAAGTCTCTATGGTCAATTAATATTCAACAAAGGGGGCAGAAGCATAAAATGACATAAAAATAGCATCTTCAACAAATGGTGTTGGGACATCTGAACAGATACATGCAAAAAAAAATGAAACTCGATTACCAACTTGTACCATACACAAAAATAAATTCAAGGTGGATAAAAAAGACTTCAATATAAGTTGTGACACCATAAAACTCTCAGAGGAGAACATAGGCAGGAAAATCTCAGATGTTTCATGCAGCAATAGTTTCACCAATATTTATGTCTCCTAGAGCAATGGACATAAAGGAAAGAATAAACAAATGGGACCTTATCAAAATAAAAAGCTTGTGCATGGCTAAAGAAAACATCAGTAAAATGAAAAGGGAACAAACCATATGGGAAAATATATTTGCAAATGATACCTCAGACAACAATTTGATCTCCAAAATATGTAAAGAACTCACACAACTCCACTCCAGGCTTGTTTCCTTTTCATTTGAAAAATGTGTATGTAGTTTTTTAAAAAAGTATTATAATAAGAATACTTAACATACCTTTCCTCTTAAAAATTTATACTGTTCTATTTACTTTGTATATGCTGGACATTTTCTGTAATAAAAAGTAAGGGAAAATGTTCACAGTGGAAAAAAATGGCTAATAGTGATTTTCTTTGGATTTATGATTTTATTGTTCTTTGTATTTTTCTTTCTTTATTTATATATTTTTTAAAGAATTTATTTATTATTTAGTGAGAGGGTAAGGGAAGGAGAAAGAGAGGGAAAAAAACATCAACGTGTCCTTGCCTCTCATGTACCTCCTACTGGAGACCTGGCTCGCAACACTGGCATGTGCCCTGACTGGGAATGGAACTGGCCACCCTTTGGTTTGTAGGCTGGCACTCAATCCACTGAGCCACACCAGCCAGGGTTGTTCTTTGTATTTTTCTTGTATTCATAAATTTATAAGGACTACATATTAATTTTGTAAATCAGTAAAAAGTTGGATATTATTTTTAATTGAATGAGAATGAATGTGAAGACACCTGACAGGTCCTCTTTAAGTGGACTTTCTCACTGTGCTGTTTGGAGTCCTTGCTCATGGTGACTGCTCACTGCACACTGAATAACTAAGCTTGATAAAATTCAGTAGCAGCTCAGGGGTTTTCTGACCCCAACTTTAAAACCTCCCTTTGGTTCTCCATTTTTCCTTTTGACTTGCATCTTTTTGCTACATACAAGAGGTTTGAGCAGGCTGCTCATAGGGACATCACTAACACATTGAAGGCACTGAAAATCTCTATTCTCAATTGTAACTCTGGCCTCTATGTCTGGATTAACTTGAAAGAGTACCTGGACCCATGCACATCTGAGGAAGTGCTGCTCCTGTATCACCACTTTCTGGACAACAAGCTGATATTGTCCCCTGGTAAGTTTTGCCTGTGTGAGGAGCATGGCTGGTTCTGCCTCATTTTTACAGATCAGTCTCTCTGCCTAAAAGCTGCCCTATGTAGGTTTTCTAGAGGAGCAGAAGCAGGATTTGACCGTGTAGCAATAGAAGGATGATGCTTGGAAGGAGTAAATGGCCTGCCTACTGACCAGCAGCTCCAGCCAATGACATGCTCAGGGTGTCCCCAACGTCAGCCTCTGATCCAAAAGGCTGTAATATTGAGCTGCTGCTGTAGCAGAGCAAACAGTGGGCTCCTCCAGAAATGAACTCACCTGACCCAGACATCACTCTCAAGTTGAGCATTTGTCCCTTTTGGAAGTTTGCATCTTTTTATTCTTTGCTAGCCACTTCGTGGTGTGAAATAATTTTAGGAGGTTTTGGGTGGGAAAACCTGTAGAAATAAAGGGAGCTCTGGATTGGTTTTATTTTGTATCCTACCTCTAATAAATTGCATGTTGTCCTAAAAACTTTACACTGAACATGAGATCTTTCCTCTTAAAAGTTGTACATTACTGTTGACCAAAAGCAGAGTGTTTCAAAGCTAGTCTTCAGCGCTTTTAAAATCTTAACTGAAATCTTATACCTGTTTATTAATTTCCCACCCTACAGCTCCTGGTAACTACCATCCTTTGATTTTATGAATTTGACTGTTTAGATATCTCATATAAGTTGAATCATAAAGTACTTGCCTTTTGTTTTTCTTGTTATTTTATTTTTTATTGTTGTTCAAGTACAGTTGTCTCCATTTTCATTCCACTTCAGTCCCTCACCCCACCCATTCCTGCCTCCCACCCTTGAACCTACCCCCTTTGGTTTTGTCCATGTGTCCTTTATACATGTTCTTTGATGGACCCACCTCTATCTTCCCCCATTACCCCTTTCCTCCTCACCTCAGGTTACTGTGTGTTTGTTCTTTAATTCAAGGTTTGTGTTTGTTCTTTAATTCAAGGTTTCTGTTTATATTTTGCTTGCTTATTTGTTTTATTGAATAGGTTCCACTTATAGGTGAGATCATATGGTATTTGTCTTTCACCACCTGACTTATTTCACTTAGCATAATGCTCTCCAGTTCCATCCATGCTGTTGTGATGCAAATTAAGACCTGAGATACCACTTCACGCCAGTCAGAATGGCCATCATAAACAAATTAAACAACAAGTGTTGGAGAGGTTGTGGAGAAAAGGGAACCCTAGTGCGCTGTTGGTGGGAATGCAGACTGGTGCAGCCACTGTGGAAAACAGTATGGCATTTCCTCAGAAAACTAAAAGTGGAACTGCCTTTTGACCCAGCAATACTACTGCTGGGATTATACCCTAAGAATCCTGAAACATCAAATTAAAAGAAGTTCATGTCTTTCATATCTGGCATATCTTACTTAGCATAGTGTCGAAAAGGTCTAACCATGTTGCATGTTGTAAAATTTCCTTCTTTTTAAAGGATGAATAGTATTCCACTGTATTTCTATACTACATGTTTTAATCCACTTATCAGTTGATAGATATTTAGGCTGTTTCTACATCTTAGTTGTTGTGAACGGTGCTGCAATGAACATGGGAATACAGGTATCTCTTTAATGTCTTGATTGTAATTTATTTGGACAACTCCTGGAAGTGCAATTGCTGGATCATACGGTAGTTTTATATTTAATTTTTGAATAAACTGAGTGACTTTTAAATTTAAATATTAAGGAAAAAAGTGTGAGTTAACAAAGAATGATGAAACTATTTTGATGGAGAAACTATGTATGGAGAAGACTAGGCACAAACATAGAGGGGAAATGTAGAATCAAATTTCTGGAGCCTCAAGCGTAGTAAGATGGGGGAGATAGTTACAGATGATGAACTGTATGAAATTCTTTTTTTGTGAGGAAATGTGGTAAAGAATTCATGTCCTTCCAAAGTATAACTTTTCATATAAAAGATGCAATATCTTTACTACTACTTTTAATATTCCTTTTGAAAACGGTTCTGTTTTAGTGTCATTCTGTGTTGACATTTCAGTATATGTGTCTACATCTGGCAGAGTTTTTGCAATACCAAAATATTTAAATTCCTCAAAGTAGTTATTATCTATTTTCACCATTTTCCTTTAACTTCATGTATTTTTGGAGAAAAACTTATTTAAAATTTTGGTTATTAGTAATTTGATATATGATGCAAGTCTTATCATTTTTAAGTTTTAGTATTGTTACTGGAACCTTGGTTCTTTCCACCAATGCAGTAAAAAAATTACAGATCAGTGAGATGGAAGTAGATGAGTAAGAGTTTTATTAATATGTCCTCAAGAAAGAGAATGCTCCTGACAAGAGTAGAGAGTGGTGAGAAAGGCTTACATAGAAGAAACAACAGGAGAGCCTAGGCTGGGCTGCCTTAACTCACTGGGAAGTCAGAGAAAAGGGGCCTTCGGAACTAGTTAGGGGATTAGCCTGGGTCAAGTTGCCATCTGCCCATTGCCTTAGAGTTTAAGAGACATGTGTCTGCGAGGAAAGAGGGGGTTCGGGAGACGGAAAAGGAAAATGGCCTTGGCTGCTCTCCCTAGAGAGAGAGTGCTAGCAGATCCTTTGTCTTGAGGTTTTTATGTCCTTCTTGCAGGTGAAAATCTTAGGTTAGGTCTCAGGGGAGGGTTTCAGTAGAATATTCATCAGTTCTCCAGGTGCACCCTTTCAGAGTCATGGTCTCCACTGATTGGTCAAGGCCAGGGCAGGGAACTTTAGTTATTACAGCAGGTCCTGGAGTTGCCCACCTGGTTTTGCTGCTTTTCTGGGCCTGGAGCTGAAATACAGCTGAGGCTGAGATGTTATCTCTAGGGAGGTGACCTTTGTATCCGACTGTAAATTGCTCAGCCATGAGTTTAGCTATCTGTCTCAATTTCCCTATTCCACTTGCCAAGGAATTTTCCTAGGTTTTGCTATCCTGTTTCAGTAATTTAGATGTTTTCCTTAATTTGAGGTCTGTAATTTCCTTTTATGAAAAAAAAAACTATTTTAGTACAAGTTAACCATTTTGCTTTATTTTATGTAGAATTGGTTTTATTTACCCTTGAGGATATATGGGAATAAGTTTTTGCTAGTTTGTTGACCCATCTCAGTTTTTAGTGCTTAAAAGAGTACCAGTCCCAAAGAAAGTGCCCAATACATATTTATTCAATGACTCAATCAATAAATCATTCAAAAGGTTTGGATTGGATGAAACACTGGTGACCATTACTTATTCTTTTGTTGGTAAATGTAAAGATTTGCTAACCTATGAATTTCTCTTGATATTTCTGATTTGGATATATACTTCTGTTTTACTTTTTAATTTTTATTTTTGGGTATTCTTAATTTGAAGGTGAGGATTGAAAGTTAAAAAGCTGTTAATAAGCTTGTGTATAGAAGGATCTTAAAAGAAGCTTGTGAGAAAGACACCACTAGATCAGGATGAACGAGAGAGTTTTGAATAAATTAACCTGACTAGAGAATTTGGTAGGTTCATTTTATGTGTGTTTATTTGGCTTCACATTCTCTTATTTTTTGGAAAATACCACAATTCTTTTGATGGAGTTACTGAAGGCTTGTTTTACTTGCTTGTTTCTCAAGGAGTAAATGAAAGGATTCAGCGCTGGAGCAATGGAAGTAGTGAGCACTGTCACACCCTTGTTAATGGCCACCGATTCCTTTGCTGAAGGTTTGATGTAGATGAAGATGCAACTGCCATAAGTGATTGAAACCACAATCATGTGGGAAGAACAGGTGGAAAAGGCCTTTTTCCTTTGCTGAACAGAAGGGAATCTAAAAATTGTTTTGATGATATAAATGTAGGACAGTACTACACACATAAGTGTCATAATGAGGGTCAGCACAGCGCAAATTATCACGGTCTGCTCCATGAACCAAGTATTTGAACAAGAAATTTTCAGGAGGGGAGATGCATCACAGATAAAATGATCAATGACATTAGAATCACAAAATTCCAGATTTAGGCCTAGACTCAGTGGGGGGATTATAATGAATAGACCAGCAACCCAACAACAAAAGACAAGTCTTCTGCAGACTGTGCTACTCATGATTGTCACATAATGTAGGGGTTTGCAGATGGCTACATAGCGGTCATAGGACATGGCGGCTAGGAGAAAAAATTCAGTTACACCAAAGAGGTCAGTAAAAAATACCTGGCTGGCACAAGCATTATAGGTAATGACTTTGTCACCTGTTGCTATGTTATACAAGTATCTAGGAATACAGGCAGTTGTGAATGAGATCTCCAAGAAGGAGAAATTTTGTAGGAAATAGTACATGGCGGTTTTAAGATGAGAATCCAGTAACATAAGGGAGATGATAGTCAGGTTCCCAGTTATGCTCAGCATGTAGGTGAGAAAGAAAAAGATAAAAATCAGAACCTGCAGCTGAAGGTCATCTGTCAGTCCCAGCAGAATGAATGTGGTCACAGTACTGTTTCTCATTGCTGATATTTGACTTCTGTTAAATCTGCACATAACATTGAAATATTTTATTGTAGATTATTTTAAAATTATGAAATCTATCTTATTCAGGTTTAAAAAATTCATTATTTAAAATATACTTACAATTTAAATGCATATTCTGTAAAGGACTACTTTTGACTTTTACGGGAGCAAAATGTCATGACTTTCAAGAATTCTGTTTAGTGTATTTGTTTGACACTTTGTTCCATGAAGATTTAATATATATTAGACAACTTGGGTTCTCTATGCACCCTTTTTTAGTCACTTGAAGTTCTAACTCTATAATGAAAGAATTTTGTTTCTATTTTTGTTTATTGCATACTTGTGTGTTTCTCTCCCAAATACCTCTAAACTCTGTCATGCATGCATACATATTTTTTCAGCTCTCTCCTTGACATTACCTCCTTCTACAGCTTATCTGTCCCTAAGCAATCACTTATAATTCAGGGCGGTACACAATATGAACTATCTTAATGTACAGTATACTTATGCACAATCTACATTCATACTTTTATGAAGTTCTCTGATAAACTTCAAAGATATTATAGATGGTATGTTTTTGTGTCCCTCTTACCTGTCTGCTGTTTTTTTCTTCATGCCTTTTCACTTCTCACCATACTGATATTACCTCTGTATTTTCATCCATTTCTATTTTTAAAAACATCATCTTTCAAGTGATTATTACTAAATCTCTATTTTTATTTTGCAGTAGTCCTTTCTGATTTTCAGATGCAAACTGACATATCTATCTGAGCATTACAAATGGATTTTGAATCTTTATGTCACAAACGCAACTGATGATCTTCTCTATCCTTCTTCCTCCCCCTCCACTTAATGTGATCATTTCAATAAAAATAATACATGTAGACATATTTATTGAGTGCATTTGTGTGACAGGTATTTTAGTAAATATTTCTCACAAAACATCTGTTTGCTGTCCTTAACACACTGTAATAACTTCTATTTTTCTATTGGTTTTCAACTTCATCTTTAAACTGTCTGGAAAGTTACCTAGGAGTCTGATAACTATTTTATCTCTAATCCTTGTCACTGTTTCCCATGGGAAACAACGTTTGCTACTATTTTAACATGTAAGAAATAACTAACTTGTGGGGATCATAAATGTGTTTCTTTGTCACCATATGTTGTCAACTGTTCTATAAATGTTTCTAAATGAATTTATCTGCATATATTTTCCAGATACCTATGGAGCTATTTTTCTTTCTTTTTGGAATTATAATTCAAAGCACTTTGATATAACTTTGGGTACACAGTGCAATACATAGATGATGTAGCATAGAATTGTACACTTAAACCTATATAGTTTTATTAACCAATATCACCTCAATAAATTTAATTTAAAAAGAGCTAGCTCCTTTTGTCTTGAGCTGGCTAAGGAACTTGAGGCTGGTTATGTAACCAAAATGTATTTTAATCTTAAAAGTGTGGAATTTGGGTTAAAAATTATTGAATTTTAAAAATAATTTTCTATGTTAGAATCTGTTGTTGAATTTTTTTCTTTTGTTTTCAAAAAGGGTCAACTTTCCTGATTTTGTTTATCACCTTCACAGCAAATAAGGAGCAACTGCCTTCTCTTTGCTATATGTTCCAATAAAATTCTGTAGATGCAATTTTTTTCCATTGAGGGTTTCTATCTGGAAGATGTTAAATCCAGAGCATATGGACTTTTTTGATTCTGAGTTTGTGTTAATAGCTTTTTCACAGATTGTTTTAAGACATTGGCAATTATGTTAGTAGGGACTCAAATATTTTTACTTTAAAATTAATGTCCTAAGGTTAGACTTTCCCAAAACAAGAGTGAACTATGAAAAGTTTCTCCTGGAGACCACAATTTATTTGTATGTGTATGCACTTTATTGTGTCAACTAATGTATTGCTTTACTGATGTGGGACAGGGTCAGCTCTGATTATCTAGTAGAGAATGCAGTTAAGGCCTCTGGGCTGCAGTACTCAACATAAGGAAGATGAACTAAACTAGGCTCATGGTTTGCCTGACAAAACACATTAAGGCAATTGGAGATACATTCAATGACTATATTAGATCAAATTGAGATTGAGGACAAAGATTTCTGCTCTCCATCTACTATCTTCAACCCTCTTTCTGATCTCTCGGGCAACACATGCATCATCTCACTAAGTAAATTTACTCAGCCTTGTCACCATGGACTATTATTCCATGCTTTACAAACATTGGGTTGTTTTCTTTCTAAGGTATCACCAAGCATAATAAAACAAGTTTAAAAAATAATTCACAGTGAAATATGACTAATTGTTTCAAAAGACATGTTTGAAATGAGGACAGAAATCTCTACTGAGGTGATGCAAATCAGTCAGTGTGTCATTCTTTTGGGAGTCTAAGAAGTATTCTTACACAATTAGATGAATATATATCTCACTTTTAATGTAAGGTTGATGATATAGGTAATATATTTCTGAATAGATATCCAAATTTAATCCTTTTAAATGCCAAGATATTTTTGTGCATAAAAATTTCCAAGTAGATGACATTTATATATCCAAAGAAACTTCATTCTAAAACAGTAAAGACATGTATTCTTCACCAATATAGAAATTATCACTTACATCTTCAATTTTAAAACAATAGCATAATAAAGTATGTTTTCACAAGCATAATAAAACCCAATAGAAATCCACACAAAACTAAATATAATTAAAATGGCAAATTTTATCTCACTTACTATTATGACTGTCAACCATAGTTTCTGTTGGTTGTTGAAACACATGAAATCTTAAAACTCCTAAATTCAAAATGATAGTTGGAAATTTTCATATCAACTTTGGGCCACTTTCGCTTGTGAATCCACTGTTATATTCACAGCAACTCTAAGTAAGATACATATACTTCTCAGAAGTATCCATCTTCAACCAATTACATGGAAATCCTTTCTGTACTATTTTAATGACCTTCAAAAAATACAAATATCAAGTGTGGTGGGAAAATGGAGACAACTGTACTTGAACAACAATAAAAAAAGAAAAAGGTCAGGTAATAATAATAATCTAATATGAGGGTTGTGGAATGTCAGGAATCTTCTCCAGTTATAGGAAAGTTGTTGCAAGGGCTATGGGCTCAGGGCTGTGAGCACATTTACTATATCTCGTTTGGCATTTGCTTTATTTGATGAAAATTCAACTAAATGAATAAACAAAGAGTCCCTGGTGACCCTAGAACAAAGCCACTAATGAATCTTCTGTGTAATAAAATTGGGGTGAAAAAGTATGCCACCGTGGCTTCTTCAGATACAGTATCCTTGGAGATTGGAGGATGCAACCACAGAAAAAGGTGGACAATCAAAGAATCTGGTTATAAAACACAAATTTAGTTCCTTTTGACTATTACAGAACATAAACTAAGACTTACTATATGGAAGGATCATAAAGAAATCTCATTTATCATTTACTCATTTGTTATTTGGATAACACTATATTTGGGAAATTTTACTTTGACAAGAAAAAGGAAAAATATGTAAAATTTAACCCATCCTGTTTAATTATAGTATCAAACTTTCAAGGTTTTCTATTCAGATATATTAAGACACTTATGGGTACTAATTAAAATAACAACATAATATGTATAACTGGATATATATATCAATATTCTTAAACTTCTAAGCATGTCATCATATTTATGTTTAATATCTTGATGTTTCATCAGACCTAAAATTTAATATACTATATATTCATATTTAAAATTTTTCACACTCCTATGGTTTCTTTATGACAAAGGAACCAACATATAGAATAGGGCAAGGACAGTCTCTTCAATAAGTGATGTTGGGAAAACTGAATTGCCACATGTAAAAAATGCAACGGGGCCTCTCATGCAATACACAAAAATAAACTTGAAGTAGGTTAAAAACTTGAATGTGAGACCTGAAACCTTCACACTCCCAGAATACATGGGGAGTAAGTTCCTTAATATGGGTCTTGGCAATGACATTTTGAATTTGACACCAAAGGAAAGGCAACAAAGATGAACAAGTGGGACTAAACGAACTAAAAAGCTTCTGCACAGCAAAGGAAAACATCCACAAGATGAAAAGGCAACCTACCAAATGGGAGAAATATTTTTCAATTATATACCTGATAAGGAGTTAATATTCAAAATATATAAAGAACTCAAACTGTAATGGGGTAGGTTGGAACAGATACTGTTGGAAAGTAGGGAACCCCAATTCAGGCAAGGGACCCCGGATCAGACAAAAGCCAGTGCCTCCTCATTAGAATGGAGGGAGTTGCAAATGTGCTGGTTAGGAAGTGCCCAAGGTGGCAGATTAAAATGGTAATCAAAGGGCTGTGCCTTCCTGAAGGGTAGGGCTGTGGAAGGAGGCTGTTGCCTGGAGCAAACTGTGAACAAAAGCAATGTGGCTGTGCTAAGTTCCAGCAGTTGAGCCACTCATGATATGGGGGTTGGGGAAGTTCATATGGTGGCTGCTGGGCCAATGCCCCACCCCAGACAGATGCTTGTGTGCCTGTGTGTGGCTGGGAAATTTTGCCCTTACTAAAAATGATATCTATATCCCCATGCCCATTATAGCATTATTCATAGCAACCAAACTGTGGAAAAAACCTAAGCAGTCATCAATTGTGAATGAATAAAAAATGTGATATATACATGCAATGAAATATTAGTCAGCTATCAGCTATCAGCCAAAAAGTGGGTCAAAGATGCTGGGAAGCTGACAAAATGGCAGACACTGACACAGCTTTATACAAAAACTGGATGTTCAGTCATACAGGGATTTCTGGGCTGAGTTTAAACCTGGAGCATTCTGGGAAACATGAGGTTTTTTTCCCCTTCCCTTAGTTAGTCCAGTCAGCCACAGGAAGTCTGAGATCCTGAGACCAGTGGATCCCTGGAGACTGTGTGGTCTGGAAACTTCAGCACCTCAGCACCCCTCTTGCATAGAAGGTGGTGGCAGTGCTGGCTGTGTGGT